TGCCGCCCCTCCTCCCCCTGCAGCAGGGCGGGAAGGAGCCTCGGCCCCTGGGCATCTGCTGCACAGCTCCCGTGTAACGCACCCCCGGCGGCATGAGGAGGCCTCGGGCCCGTGCCGCGGCCGCCCTGCAGCGCCGTCGGGCTGAGGGGAAGCTGCTTGCGAGGTCCGGGCGCTTCTGTCCCCGGAGCCAGGGCGGGCCCTTGCAGCCGCTTGGCAACCAAAAAGCGGAGAGCGGTCGCAGCCCCTGCAAAGGTCACGAGCAGGCGCCCGGGCTGGGTTGTCGGGCTGGCCTGGACACACAGACAGAAAAACAGACAGCCATGGCATCTCTGGGACGGAAGGGAACAGGTGCTCAGCACCCCGCCACACAGGACATAAAGCTGTTACTGTGGCGGGGCAAACTTGGGCAGGTGGGTGGAAACTGAAGAGCACCTTTGCTTTGTTGACATTGAGAGAGAGGGGAAAATAAAGTGCCATCAGCACTGCCTCCTTATCACGCTGGCATCTCCTACCCAAGTACAGACAGGACCTGCCCAGCCCAGTCATGAAAGCAAAGCTGCAAGCCAGCCTGCAAGGTGACCCTAAGCTCTGCCTGCATGTCACGTCTTGGAGGGTTGAAGACTGCCGTTGTGTGTTGTTAGGGCAGTGAGGATTTTCTGTGTTGCTCAAGAATTAAATCAGCAGCAAACAGCGAAATGCTAAAGTGAATGGCCTTTCTGGTAGAATCAAACCTCCTCTTCCCTCCCCCACCGCAATCAGTCAGTACCTGTAACGTAAATAGGATTGTTTCTTCTTCCCCTTCCCCACTTCTGACTTATGTTACACAAATTCTGATCTTGTGTGAACTGAGGCAGTGGGACATGTTCAGGCCATGGAGTGACTGCCCTTAGTTACAGCATATGAGTTCTGTCATCCTTCAGCCAGTTTGGGAAGTGTCCAACCCCACCTATGCCACAGATCTATAAGCCCACGTCAAATATGCCACCCCTGAGAGATCCTGAAAGAAATCAACAGCTCTTAGCTTCTGCCTGCCTGCTCCAAATTACCGGTTGCTCTCATCAGGTGCTTTTTCAAGCCCTTCCCTTGGGGGTTGTTGGAATTAATCTGACTTTTTTCCCCAGTTCCCCTGTAGACACGTGGTGAGTTTCATTTCTGTCATCAGTGTTATTTTCTACCTACATAGACTTGTTTGTGTACATGACTGAAACCCTAATACATGCATTTTTACTAGCTGAACAGATTAGGACAACAAATTATGCAGTTGGAAGTCTGAAAAATTTTTCATTTCATTTTGTTTCCCTCTTTCTCTCTCTTCCTCTCCCCTCCTTCCCCCCCTTGGATTTTGATCGTTTCTCTCTCATCTAAATCTCACTCTAATGCCTTTTACTTCAGCTACTTACTTGCTCTGTGATCCAGGGCAAGTCACTACAACCTGTATCTTATTTTGCCATTTTATAACATGGGAATAATTAACCATTTTGAGATATTGTTTATAAAGCACTTTAACATTCTTGCATGAAGGGTACAGTACAATTATAGCATACAAATATTGGGGAAAGAGTTTACATATGTTACTCATTTTACATAGGTCATTTCCTTTTCAGAGTGTAAAACATGGATTTGGCCAACCATGGACTTATTCTGCTGCAGCAGCTGAACGCTCAAAGAGAGTTTGGTTTCCTGTGTGACTGCACAGTTGCTATTGGTGATGTCTACTTCAAGGCCCACAAATCTGTCCTTGCATCTTTCTCAAACTACTTCAAGATGTTGTTTGTTCATCAGACCAGGTAACTATAAAAAGATTGACTGTTTAACACGTTATTCAGTTCAGGCAAGAAAGCCTAGGTGCATTCTGAAAAATGTTTATTTAATTTCTTATTACTGTTCAAAGAAAACCTGGAATCAGTTCTTATTTGTGAAAAACCTTTAAAAAGGACACTTCATGTCTATGAATAAACTGTCAAGGAATCCAGTCTTTTCCCACTGCTACTTATAATTAGTACTTTTCACTCTTGTCATCTGCTCAACATTAACCCTTTTAATGTCTGTAAAAGAATGGACAAGAGCCAACAACCCCTTAAATAATTGGTTGCGAGAAAGACTGTAAAATAGGCTGGCGATTTAATTTTTACTCTCTCTGGCTTTCAGAAATGCTGTGGCATTAAGGTTTAGTGAAATGATGCTGAGTGATGAAGGATTGCACAGCCATGGAAAATAGGCTGTGTCCCTTAGCTCAGAGCTGTCCAACTGTTAGCCTGGGAAGTGCAGCCCCTAGGCTCCTACCCAGATTCTCTCTCTCTTACCTTTCAGTTGGAGGTGCAGTTGTGATCCCTAGACTCCCCTTCCCTCAGCTTTTGCTTCTTTCTCCCTCCCCAGGGGGCAGGGCAGTGCAGCCCAAAGCACCAGGGGAGCTTACTGTGTGGGGTAGGGTGCAGCCCAAGAGCTCATGGCCTAGTGGGAACTCTACTGGTGTGGCCTGTGCAGCATGTGCAAGACCCTCAACCACTTAGAAGTTGGACAGCCCTACCTTAGCTGTTTATTTCACAGGCATGCTAACAGGCAGAATTTTTGTAAAGAAAGTAAAATACTTGGTTGTTAGCCAGCCTCCAGTAAAATACAAGTTCAACTTTGTCTCCTTTTCTTTTAAATGTTAAAAGATTTTCTTTTAATATTTTCCCAGCTTTTTGAACTAGCACTACAAGTTTAATCAAGTTGGTATATTAAATCCAGAGGCAGGGAGCCTGTTCAGACCCAATACCCATCAACTTATCATTTTCCCATCCTGCATATTTCAGCAAGGACTGAGGTGGAAGGGTTTTATGTGAGAGAGAAACGGGGGTAGTCTACAATGGTGAATGAGAAGACTTTTATTGAAGACTTAGAGCCAGATCTCTTCTACCTGTTAGGTCTTTAAGCTTAGACACCTGAGTGCAATTTTGTACCACCCTGCTTGAGTCTGTGAAAAGTTTGTGTCTGCTTTTGTAACATGTCACCATCTGCCCATTAAGACCAAGTTACTAAAATAGCAAGGAGGAGGAGAAACCCACTCATCTTTAGCATTAACAGTTTTTCAAGAATTTAGAAAGGGTGGTATAGGATTAGACTTCAGCCCCCAAGTCTACTTACATGCCTGATACATAGAATAAAATTTGGTAGTTGAAATAACATAAACTAAACAAGGGATAAGCATGAATAAGAGCTTCTGCTTATTCCTGTCCTTGACTACCTGCTGCCCTCTTGCTTGGCTGCTGGAGAGCCCTTCATTGCAAGGCCACATAACAGTTCTATGCCACAACGTTCTTTGCTCTGGGCTATATCCCTCACAATCCTTTGCCCTTCGCTGTGTCCTCCCCAGTACCTACTGATAGTCAGGAGTAAGCTAATTTATCAACAATATTAAATATTTGTGTATGCAGCTGCTTTCACGTGTGTATAAGATTTACTCAGCTGTAGCTGCAGAAAAAATGATTAAAGAAAGGAATAAGAAAATACAGGATAGAGGGATCTAGTTAATTGCCAAAAACACCTGACAATCTTCTTTCTGTATGTGACAGGCTTGAATTTCATTATCCTCAATGCTGTAGGACCCACTTGTGTGTGCCTCACTCTCCAATCTAAACAAATGACAACAAAAGCAAAACGTCGAACAATTTTTGGTTTTCAAAGTGCAAATTACATTTAATTTGGTGGTTCTCCAAATAACAGAAAATAGGTTGTAGGAAAAGAGGGGCTTTACTGTAACAGAATTCAGGTTTTAGCAATGTTAAATTCTGATAAAAAACTGGGGGGGGGCACACACCTGATATTCTTGTAAGCCACAGGGCAGTTGATGTTTGACCAAGAATAAACACAGCAGAAAATAATAAATGAATAAATAAATAAATACAGGAAATAAATACATATATACATACATAAAAGGTTACAGTCATTTGGAATACATTTATTTTTCAAACCAATTGGTTTCCTGAGGGTAAAACTGTCCAGTTTCAAGTGATCAGAGACATTAAAACTTTGCCTCATTTTTCAGAGTGCTTCTCTTCTTACAAACCACACCCTCTGCTTCCAAGCCAAAAAAAAATCATTACCAGACCTGCTTGTTTATATTAACTATAGAGTGCACTGTACACAGTGTGATTGTTTTACAGTTTGTTTATGTTCAGGTACTGTTAATCAGAGGGTGGTGACAAGTGTGACTCTCCTTCCTAGATTTCCAAGACTGACCACTTACATGGTTCAGTTAAGGGGCTGCTTAAGATGGTAAGAGTTTCTGTCCACAGGAGCATCTCACCTGTTTGTTGGAACAATCATCTGTTATCATTTCAGTTATAGGACAAAGAGGAGTTTTTTAAGCAAATAATTCTTTTGATATGTTTCTTTGGTATTTCTCGTACAGAGCATTCATTTTTATTCCTGCTTTACTGACATAGATTAGATTTTAAGAGTTCTCTCATCACTTATTTATTACTTTGTTTTATTTTCAGTGAATGTGTTCGTTTGAAAGCAACTGACATACAGCCAGACATCTTCAGCTATCTTTTGCATTTGATGTATACAGGGAAGATGGCACCTCAGCTGATTGACCCAGTTCGATTAGAACAAGGAATAAAGTTTCTGCATGCATATCCACTAATTCAAGAGGCCAGCCTTGCCAGTCAGGGAACCTTTTCACATCCAGATCAAGTTTTTCCATTAGCATCTTCATTGTATGGCATTCAGATCACAGATCACCAGATAAAACATCCCACTAAAGTTACATCAGCAACTGACAAACTTGGGCGAGACCCAAGGCCACAGACTTCCCGGATGAGCCAGGAGCAAGCATCTGAAGGCTCACAGTTAGCTTCAACTCTGCCACAAGTAACCAGGACAAACATGACTACATCTGACCCATTGCAGTCTTCACTGTCCCCAGAACTGGTTTCCACTGCTGGTAATAATTCTCCTCCGGGAGAGGAACCCAACATGGAAGCATCTTCCTCAGATGAACAGCCCACTTCACTCACAATAGCACACGTCAAGCCAAGTATTATGAAAAGGAATGGAAGTTTTCCAAAATACTATGCCTGCCACCTCTGTGGCCGTCGGTTCAATCTGCGCAGTAGTTTGCGCGAACATCTCCAGATCCACACAGGAGTGCCCTTCACATCAAGCCAACAAGGGGAAAGTAGCATGTCCCTGTCTCTCTGCAACAACACAGCTGACAAAGATGCCATGGAAGTGCCTGAAGCTGGAATGATTAGTGACAGTGAGTTGCAACAGATCTCAGATTCCCCCATAATTGATGGACAGCAGCAAGCAGAAACACCACCACCCTCAGACATTGCAGACATAGACAACTTGGAGCAGACAGATCAAGAAAGAGAAGTGAAGAGGCGGAAGTATGAATGTTCCATCTGTGGACGCAAATTCATTCAGAAAAGCCACTGGAGGGAGCACATGTACATACACACTGGCAAACCTTTCAAGTGCAGCACTTGTGACAAAAGTTTCTGCAGGGCCAACCAAGCTGCCAGACACGTGTGCCTGAACCAGAGCATGGATACTTACACTATGGTGGACAAGCAGACTCTGGAACTCTGTACTTTTGAGGAAGGCAGTCAAATGGACAACATGCTAGTACAGACCAACAAACCCTACAAATGCAACTTGTGCGACAAAACGTTTTCAACTCCCAATGAAGTGGTTAAACATTCGTGCCAAAATCAAAACTCTGTCTTTGCTCTAGAAGAGGATAGATCCATTCTGCTAGGTAGTGGGGACACAGAAGTGACGGAGACAGAGAACTCAGTGTTAGCCTCCATTAAAAAGGAGCAGGAAGCAGTGTTGTTGGACTGAATATGAAATCTGTATCAATTTTTTAAAGTTTCTTTATTCATTTTTACTAAACCAATTCTCTCCCCCTCCCCCTCCAAGCACCAGAAGTACACTGGTATGGTAGAAAATTGGATCTTGCCCCTCACACCAAAAAAATAAATAAAAGGCTTTATATATCAGATCACAACATAATTCATTTTAATGCACAGGAACATGCCTAAAGGTAATTCAGCTAACTTTGTCAATAGTCCTAGTAAGCTCAAGTTTGATAATTTTTTTAAACAAATTTTAGACTTTTTAAAAGCATATTTAAATGCAATGAAGTGTGTACTGAGAAACAAGAATATCATTTTGGTAAACAAAGAATAAATATGCAGTTATTTTCCCTGGTAACAAGCCTTTTGAAAAGAACTCGCAGACAATGCAGCATGTTTTCTAGAGCAATACCTACAAACTGGGTAAGATCACAACTAACAAAAGGCTTAGAATTTTGCATAATGAACCCAGGATTTTTTTTTTCTTTTAGTTTTTAGTTTTCCCTCAAGTATACCATTTGGTATCTGGCTTCAGGTAACATTGTTGACATAATGTCCATTCAAGAAAATGTAGTTACTTAGTCAGCGTTGACTACGGTAGCTATAACAATAATGTGATGGCAATCTTTTTATATATGCACACATATATATAAGTGTGTTATGCGTGTGTGAGTGATAGATGCAGGGTAACTAGGTGCACACATACTTTCTAAACAATTGGCCATCTTTCAAGTTCAACAAAAGAAGTCCTTTAGTTATGATTGTTTGACTGATCAGTTATTACACAAGTTATTTTTTAATTACATGTGAACTGCTCTGGACTGTGTGCATTTTTTATTATCCTGTTGAATGGAAATTCATATAACAGTGTTGTCACCGAAGACATGAAGGAAACTAGAGAATAGAGAAATGATATGCCGGTGAGCACTGTGCAAAAACCAGTGCTACATTCACAAGTGTAGTAGCCATAGATTAGAGTCACTCCTGGTAAAAGAGAAGAGAGACTTGATCACTGTATTCATGCAAGGAACCTCCAAGACTTTTTGGGGTCTAACTGCATGAGTTCAGTAAAAAAAACAAACACAAAAACACTGGTTGGCCCTTCATTTAGTAACAGGCACCTTCTAATAGAAAGTAAAGAGGGAAAGATGGCTATGGATCATGGTTTTAAAATGAATTTGCAGTGCTGACTGGTAACTCCTGTTATTGAAAGGGACTCCCATTACATAAGACCCCCAAGACAAAGTACACAACAGCTGAGAGGATCAAGAAGTAGTTTTAGCTACAACTCAGGATGGCGCTGCATCTTTGTGTTTAAAAATCAAGTTGATGATTTTTATTTTTTATTTTGTATAGATGCCCGGAATTTTTGCCAATAGCCTAAAAACTAAGCAGACAGCAGTAAGGAAGCCCACTGAAAAGTTACTGGGCCAATAGAAGGCTTAAGTAGACAGAATAAGCGCTCCATCATAAATGGAGGCAGTGTGTGTGAGGGCAAGTCATGAACCACAGCTCTGCTCTGTGTATACATTTAAATCAAGTATCATTTTTTGTGTATAGTTAAGTTCGCAAGTTTGTAAGTTTTTTATACATCATTTCATTGAATAAAAATTGAATTAAATTGAATGTGATTTATTTTGAGTCTGATCTTAAAGGTTATTGGCTTCTTGATCTATCCAAGAGGGCTCTTTTTGAAGCTATCCAAGAGCCAAGAGAAGCATACCATATATCTTATTAAAACCCATTTCTATATAAATGAATAGTGGCTTTCTAAACTTGCTTAAGTGTCATATCAGATTGACAGAACTGAAATTGAGAATTAACTGCACACTATAAACCTCCTTCCAGGAGGACTCCCCCTTTGAACTGATGTATATATCTCATTATCTAAAACGTCATATTTTCTGTATCTTCTGCATTCAATGTTGCAAGTTTAAAACTTTGTAAGGGTCTTTACCTGACACTGTGGCTGTTTCTTTTTCTAAATTAATCTCTACTTGTTTTAGTGGTTTGTTTGAAAGGAGAACAGAGAAAGGAGGGAAAAATAGATCTTGTCAAAAACCAGTCAGAATAAGAGTGGTTTCAAGATAACAATGGTTTATTAAAAATATCTTTGGCTGTTCAGACTCATCTCTCAGGGGGCAGTCCTGTCAAGAAGGGAAGCAACCTCACTAAAAAAAAAAAAAGGAAAGAACTTGTTTTGTACATTTGTGTACCTTTTATGCAAGTTCTTTTTGAATACCCATTTCTTGTCTAGAACTGAGCAATTACATCCAAGTTACTGCAGCTCTCAAACACACCAGTGCTTACTTGGCCTATTCTCATCCTTCAGACTAAATGAAAAACATTTCAGTCTACAGAATCATTAAATCAGGAGATTACCTGTGGAAAAATTGTTTGCAAGTTATTACACAGGCACTATGAAATTTACTTTCTGTATTAATTACACCTTTATAGCACAGATATAATATAGAAGAAAGTTTGAAAAAAATCTAATTGGTGTTAATGTATGTAGTTCTAGAAAACCTTACATTTCCTCTTCAAAATTCTTTCATTCACTTAAAGTAATAAAGCTGAGGATCTCTCAAATGAGGGGAAAAGGGTACTTCAGGAAATATTAAATAGAGCAAAATCCTGGTACAACTGAAGACAACAGGACAGAGTGGGACCAGAATTGCATTCTCACTGTATAATTTAATTATTGCTAGCAGGCTGGCATGAATCAGTGACAAAACAAATTGCTATCACCCTGATGGCCAGATTTCAGAAAGTAAAGCACCTACACCACCAGTTCCAGTGAATGAAAGCAGCAGGGCTGCTGAAAATTAAGATCTCTCTGCACAATATAAATAATGAGCTAATTTTTGTCATTTTTATGTTAAGTATTCCTTTGGCCATAACCTTCTAGTTTCCCAGCAATGTCACTAGTCACACAGGGGATGATGATTCATGGGGGTGCTGGAGAGGGGGAAGAGAGGAGATGGTTTTATTAATTTTTAGCAGCAACAACATTATTGCTGCTGCTTCCTGTAAAAGACCACCACAAATTACTTTAGAAAAGTCTCTGCTTTTTAGTTGTTCAGCTTTAATGGGCTTAAAATTGTACATCAGCAAACACTTTCTATTCAACATCTTATTGCTAAAAATAGCTTCTACAAACACTCTAGTTTATTAAAAATACCATTCAACGTTGCAAAACAATCGCGCTCTCAGGTTTGCTAACACTTATGATATTTTCTATCTTGCCAAATAGTATAATTCAGCAGTGCTCGACCTATGGGCTGCATCCAGCACAGAGGGCCAGGCTGATCCTCCTGCAGACTGACCCCATGAGCCCACCCCATCCGGGATCTAGCCTGTGGACTGACTCCACCTGCAGGATCCAGCCTGCAGACCTGCCTCATGTCATTCATCCAGCCCACAGGTCCAAAAGATTGAGCACCACTGGCTTTGTATAAGAGGTACCTTTGCTTTCTGGAGAGTTGTACTGGTCCTTCTCAGCACAAGAACGATAAAAAACTGAAGTGCCCTGCCACTGAGCATGTTACCAGGTTTTTCCATATTCCTCAAAACTTCCATCCCCTAATATAATAAACAAGATAATAAAGAAATTAACTTTGGTAAAGAAGCAGGAATTGTCATTTAACTATTGTCTCTTTAAAGGCTAAAGATGTTTCACAGCCATGAAGCATTGGGAGAGGCTGAAGGCATGGAATTGGACATCAGGAACATACTGCAACTCAAAAAAAGAGAAAAAAATGAGTTACTGTACTGTTTTCATGATGAAATCTTTTAGATCAAGGTTGTCAGCATAAAAAGCCCAAACGTTTGTAGAGCTATCATCCTACATTTACAACATGACTATGAACAGTGAACATGGGTTGTCTGTAAAAGATTCCTGACTGTCAACTCTAGATAATACAATACCAATTAGGCACAGACCAGGGAAGGCATAGTGAAAGGCTGTATGTCTTTGCATACTGTCCTACACATGTGCATTACCTTGGTCAGCAGTGAGAGAAATCCGTTGTCCATGCCAAATTTTGGCTTCTCTTAAGACATCTTTCCCTGGAACCAGACTGAAGCTACCAGACTCACTTTAGTTAAGCTGCTTTACAAAGGAACTTAAGAGCAAACTTGAGTGCTTACTGCAAAAAATCCTAACAAGCATCCCAAGGCTATTCGCATCATCCCTTCTTCTCTTTGCATATCACTGCCCCTAGTTCATCCTTATCTAGACATTCTCAAGCACCTTTCCCCCCCATCCTCCTATGTTCTACCAAAAATAAAATAGGAACATCCCAAGAGTTATCATTTCGCTCCCTCATGTCAAGTTTATATGGTAGAGGGGACATATGCTAGTGTTGTGAGGTCCTGTCTTGAGGTGCCCAAAGATTTAATTAGCAATTCCAAGAGATATAGTACCCTGTGACATGTTGATCAGGCCTACAAAGCAGCAGAGGCACCCACATAATGAAATAGCAAATACTGGGATTTTGATTTCCCAGCAAAAGGAAGGCCAAGCATTTTTGAAGTAGTACATCAGGAAGGATGATGGTATTCAAGGAAAGGCAAAGTTTAAAGAAGTTGAATGAAACCCCTTGAGAGACTACACTAAATCTGTTCTACTTGGTTTCTCTCCCATTTTTTATTTATTTTAGACAAGTTGTTTCTCTTGGACATACTTCTGAATTTGTACAGAGTTTCCTCATGAAGCACATCAGTATTTTTCCACTGCTAAATAAGCAATCCATTTGCTTTCCTAGGTTTTCCTTTTTTGATTACAGGCCTGAGGAGAGGCTCAAAAGAAGGTCAGGTCAGACTGAAACAAACTGATGATCGTGGTCAGGGCAGGAGAAGCTGGAGAACAATTGGGCTGATGAGAAAGCACTACAGAAAATGTTAAGAGACTGACAGGAGGCAAGCTTAGAGCACATTGATCCTGCATCCTATCCATTTCTTGAATGTCTTGTTAATACTAAGGGCACATGGTTAATCTACTCTCAGTGAATCAATTCAGTTAATTTCAAATCTTTCCTTTCAGAGTGAGTTCTTGCCCTTGTAAGCAGGTTCCTTACCCTGCTGCTTTAGCAAAGAGAGGCAACTGGTTTCAGGCTGCAAAGGTTTTTTCATTCCTTCCAGCTCTGAAGCTTCCTACCCATCATAAACTAATTAACCAACACAAAAACATATACATATACTAACCAAACAATAAACAAAACAAGAAACCAACTTTCTACCATCCTTCAGACAAAGAAAGGGAACCACACTAGCTCTCTGCTTCTTCCCAGCACTACAACTTAGCTACTCTCCTCTCCACTCTTACCCCTCTTCCTAGCCTCACCCTTATTACCTGGGCAGCAGTTTCAGCTGGTTCCTCACCGTCCAGGCTATTAGCTGCTGACCACCTGCAGCTGGCTTTCAACCAGCTGAAGCCTGAGTACCTCCTTATACCCTTGTGAGTGGGTTTATAGTTGAAAGACATGGGAAACATCTATGTAATTTCTGGCTCCTGTAGCCTTGTTGCCAGGATACACCGAGTTTAGTTCAGTTTGCATTCCTGGGGAAAGCAGACTGAACATCATCCAAGACAATCACAGAAATTAAAAATGAGAGAGAGATTAGGTCATATATATCCTGTCATGCTACTGGGTTGGAAGTCATTTTCAAACCCTTCCACAGCCGTGTGCATTTGTGACACGGCTTGTGTTTACATCTTCATACCTAACATCTCTGTGCAGCAAGATCACCGGTGTCAGGGGACCCTTACATCATGTCAGTTCCCCCGACATAGCTAGTTCATCATTCAATCTTTCAGTTAGAAAGGAGTAACACCTGCTTTAACAGTGCTCCTGGTCTAGGCAGAGCATTGGTCTGTAGCCTAGTTTGGATGCCCAGCTGCAGCTTGCTTCACTCCCATCCATTTCTCCTTGGTGGGGAACAGCAGCATTTGTAGCAGGGATGGTTGGTAATATTGATTTTACAGTATGGGTAGGACCCAACAGTTAAACTGTTCATAGATTCTGTTATAGGCTGCTTAATGAAGGAAGCATGCTATGGACCAGAAAATGAATGCCTCTCTCTCTCTCTGTCTATAGGACACAAACACCATCCTTTGTTCATCCACTTACGCAGCATCTGAGGTTACCAAAGCTTTATCATGGTGTATCATTACTGGAGAGCAATTTTGTTGAGGGATATTTGGATTGAGAGGTTTTTTCATATTAAAGAAAAGAAAAAAAGGTAGCCAAGAGCTCCCTCAGCTTCTAGTAATACATTAAATCCTCAGTCCTCATGAGTTGCTAATATCACACAAGTAGGTACTTGATGGGAAGGTTTCCCCAGCATGATGTGGGGATGTTGGTGGAAGACATTTGTTTCATTCCACTTCTGTTTAGACCAGTTGTACTCAGCCTCCTTAGACGCAAAGCACCCCTCATTAAATTCAAGGCACCCTTCCAAAACTGCCAGCTCACTCCTGTTTTGACTACAGAAAAATAATTAAGCAATTGTTTTGTTGCAAACAACTCAGAAAGACTGCAATTTGTTTTTAAGACCATATATTCCTATGTGACATCTCGCAGGGGTGTAGGTTGTAGCCGTGTTGGTCTAAGGACATAGGCAGACAAGGTTCCTTGGGTGAATCTGATATCTTTTATTAGACCAACCCAAATAGTTGGAGAATAGTTATTAAGCAAGCTTTCAGATTCAAAAACCCTTCATCAGGCTAAGGAAGTTTCAGCAGTTGGTGGAAGAGCGCACACCAACTGCTGAAACTTCCTTAGCCTGACAAAGGGTTTTTGAACCCGAAAGCTTGCTTAATAACTATTCTCCAACTATTTGGGTTGGTCTAATAAAAGATATCAGATTCACCCAAGGAACCTTGTCTGCCTATGTGACATCTCTGGGTTTATCTTGTGACACATAACAAGGTTAGCATTGTGTGGCACCCCATAGCACTCTTGAAAGGATCTCACCCCAGTTTTAGCACCAGTTCAGCTTCCCAGCTTCACTTTTCACCTGCTCCTAGATTTGTGACCGCCCACCTCGCTTTTGCCTACTGATAATCTTGTCCTATCCTTGCTATCCCTAAAATCATGTGGGCTACCCAAGAAAGTTAACTTTCCTCAGATGCCAAACTATTGGAGGCTTTTCTAAAATTTTCCCTGCACTGCTGCCCACTTTCTCAGCCATTTAGTATAACAGAATCACAAGACTGCTGAATGACACAACTGGTGATGGTGAAATCAGATTTTGCTCCCACACAAAAAAAGGAAAAAAATATCAAATAGACAAGACAGATAAGGATGCTGGGAAAAGAAAGCCTCCCTGAATGAGTTCAGTCCTTTGGAAACAGGGGTTAGGCCAAAGGGTGCAGAACAGATAGAAAACTCTGACTGTCCATACCCAACAATGGGCACCTAATTTTTTTGTGGGCTCCACAAGGGCTTATAACCCTTTGTGGAGTAGAAATAGTTTATGATACTTCTTCAGCAATATCTTGGAAAATCTTTTGTAAATGAACACAATAAATAGAAGGCTTAGGGGAAAAATGCAAGTTAAAAGTAAAAATTGTAGTTACTCACATGCTTTGGCCCACATCTGACATGGCTGCTGAAGCTTGTTTGTGGAATTCTTTCAACTAGTCAGCTCTCTCTTGACTTGGTACAGGTTTCCTAAACCTCTTCACTTGTAAACTCACTCAAGCATTACAATTAGAAATCCAGAAGTTGCTCATTCTTCTCCAGTGTTTTTCAGTCTATTCTCCACTTTCCCTTTGAATTCTTGGATGCCCACGTAACTTTACACTTACAGTAGCTACCTCTATTTTTACAGTTTGTTCCTCAACCTCTGAAGGCTAAGGTCCTTTTCTAGCTGAACTTAGTTTCTATCCTAAGAGGCAAGCAAAATCCAGAAGGCCTGGCCGGCTTGAACCTTTCTTGAGTTCTGCGCTATCCCACTGGGTTGTCAGACTGTCACTCCAAGCCCTCATCCAATTCTTTTACCCCTTTTGAAGTTGAGGGAGGAATCATATTTTAACTATTTCTTATCCTTCTGCACAACTGTCCCAGCTAATCAGGTCTCATGCAGGGACAAATGAGACAAGTGAGCTCCTGTCCTGATCTTAGAATATAAGCATGTTCTTAAATTAATGCATGAGAGTTAGGGCTACTGGGAGGTCAACCCACTATGCACCAGGTTACCAAATAAAAGCCAACCTGCTCAGCTATTTGCTGCAGCATCATGGTGGTCCTTTACTGCTGCTTGCTATAGTTGTATATTCCCCCAAGCTGGTGTGCAAACCCTCAGATTCGTAGTAGCTAAGGAACTTAACCCTACAAATGATCCAGATTCTACTCTCCACATATGCTGCATAAGTCTTCTCAGGCCCAAAAACCAAGGCTGTTTCAGCAGGTAAAAACACCCAAAAACCTTTTACTCAACCAGCTAAAGGATTCATCTTGCAGGCACTGCTCAAGTAGAACATTGATTTAATTCACAAGGGTTTCAACTGTGGGGGCAAATCTTCATCCTATCTCCAAACTTTCTTATTTTTTTTATGGATTTCATCACTGTAATATCTGAGGCCAAGCTTTCTAAATATTTATATGGGTTTCAGCACCATAATAATATTGGAGACCAATGCTTAGATATATGGTAGAGCACAGAAAACCCAAAGGCCTTACTCAGAGAAGGCTTTGGATGGTGCACTGTAAATGAGGCATGGGGCCACACACTGAGCAATAAGGATAAACTATAAAAGGGCTGCTCATTTAGTGAGTACCATCCATCCTGCGTACTGCATGAGAAAGGGCCTTATAGCAGAAAGCAGACTGAAACCGTACAGCCACTAGACAGTCACATGCACAAAACAGCCCAGTTAACACAAATCTAACGTTTCCTAATAATGCAAGCTGCTGGACTTGCAAGGCAGTTTATCCTCCAAGAAAGGCCTTTGGCCCAACCCACTCTCCCCCCTCCACTCTTCAGATCCAGCCCTCATTATTTCTCATTTGAATCAGGTAGTTTGCGCTCCTCCAGGCCCAGCAGGAAGTCACTGAGCACAGATGGCAGAGGTTTTCTATGTCAGTTCCTAAGTACGGTCAACCCTGGGCTGGAGCATGCCCAGTTCAGGCAGGCTGCGATATACTATTGCTAAATTTGGTGCTACTTCTTAAGGCAGGCAAATGGTGCACCCCTGCTACTATGAAGGCTGCCTCTCTGCCAAGCTGCACATTCCTGTCCTAAACTGCTTGCTTGTATTTTTCTCTAAGCCAGGCATTTCCAAACTGTGGTGCACATACCCCTGGAGGTACGCAAGACTTCCCTGGGGGGTACACGGGAGATATTGTGTAATAGCGGATTTAATTTTCATTATGATAATAAATGGCATTTAAAGTGTTAAAATATCAAATGTATGCTAGTAGGGGGATGAGGGCAGCTGGTAAATCTGGAAGGGCTGTACACAATTATAAAAAGTTTGGGAATCTCTGCTCTAGATGATAGGCCTCAGGGAGCCTGTAGAGCGGAGCACTTGCTCTCAGTGATGAAATGCTGAAGGTGCTAGTGCTTTGTTCATTATTTAATAAACAGCCATGAAAAATGCCAGCCAGCCCCCAAGGGATGAAGCTCTCCTAGTATGCCACCCAGGCCACCTGCTGGGTATGTGGACCTGCGGCAGTTGGCCCATAGATGTTTGTGAAGACCAAGGGCTGGAAAAGCCCCTGCAGGCCCTTAATGTATTTGAAGGAGTAGGGCAATAAGAGCTAAACTGCTGCAGGAGCCCCAACTCTCATACACTTTCCCTCAGGCACGTAGAGCTGAGCCCTGTAGAGGCAGAGGGTGCACATACTGCGTTCAGCCCTCAAAGCCCTGCTCCTACCCTAGGTGTGGTGACCACCATGGCTCTATGGCCAGAGAAGCCCCAAGAAGCAGGGTATCCTTAGACATAGCTTTACATCTAAATCCAGCTCTTATGTTGAGGGGAGGGGGTTGTTGTTCAAATCTCCCCTGCCTTGTTCAATGGCTGTTTTATACATGGGTTAATTAGTTCCCATTTTTCTGAGAATGAGGGTTGTTCAACTGCCAGCCCATGGGCTAGGTCTAGCCCACAGTGTGGTTTTCATCTCATCTGCAACTGAGGTCCACAGCTGTGCCTACAGGGAACGAAGCAGCACCAGAGATGCCCCCAAGTTAGCTCTGTGAAGCGGTACGGCTGTAGTGGTGCTTCATGGTGTCCGCTTTAATTAGCTCTGGGCTCCAGGCTGGAGGGTGTGAGAGGCCTGAGCACAGCCTCATAGTTTGACATTGGAAGAGAGTGGAGTCCTGTAGTTGCACTCCTGCTGA